TCATAAAATATTTTTATTTTGTAAACAATATTTAAGTTGTCTATAGAAATTCCTATGTAATAAACAAAACTATATTTTATAAAAAAAGATTTTTATTAATTCAACAATTTTTTTATTAATATAACGTATTTTTATTATAAAAGAAAGTAGTTCCTTCACGCCTTTACAGATTTGTTATAGTTCTTATTTTACTATGTACCTACTTTTAAAACTATTTTTTAAATTTAAATTTGTAATTCTTCATACTAACTATTGGAATTTTGTACTTGGCAACACTGGCTCACAATGTCTTAAGTGATTCCGGTTGTCATATGTCAGTTGTAAAATATATTTTGTAGAATGTAGCACATGTTTAGTTTTTAGTACTTTTGTAAAATAAAGTAATCAAATAATTCACTGCTATCTCTGTATTACCTCACTGGGAAACAACAAATTCTAATAGGTTATGGGCACCCAGACAGACAAAAAATAAAGAAGCATAAAAGAAAGTGTGAAATATAAAATGGCTAATGCAATAGTCAATGTTCCTCAGCTGACAAATGCTACAAATTTTAACAATTGGAAATTCAGAGTAACCATACTACTGGAAGAAAGACAATTATTAGATGTATTGGAGAAAACTGAGCAAGACTACAGTGAACCAAAAGAGAAAGCAGAGTTTAAACTAAAAGATTCCAAAGGTAAAAGCATCATAGTACAATGTTTAACAGACAAACACTTGGATTTAGTTAAAGATGCAAATACCACAAAAGAAATGGTTAAAGCCCTAGAGAATATATTTGAGAGAAAAAGTGTGTTTACAAAATAAACATTGAAACGTAAATTGTTAACATTGAAGCTGAAAAGAAATGAAAAATTAGAAGATCATTTTCTGTTGTTTGACACCCTTATAAGAGATTTAGAAAATGCAGGTTCAAAACTAGAAGAAGAAGACAAAGTATGCCATTTATTACTATCATTAAATGAAGAGTATGAATCAGTCATCACAGCTATAGAAACAATGAATACAACTATTAAAATGGACTTTGTAAAATCCAGACTATTAGATGAAGAAATGAAACTTAAATCAAAACAAGGTAAACCAGCTAATATTAATGAAATGTCATTTCAAGCCAATCAGCCAATAATTTGTTATAAATGTCACAAACCAGGACATAAGATATCAGAGTGTCGCCAATTCAAAAGTGGGAATAGAGGTCACAATCCAAGAGGCAACTTTCAAGGGCATTCAAGAAGTACATATATACAAAGTGGTACAAATCATAGTAGACGAAATCAAGGTGGTAAGCAATCACAAGCGAATCAAGCAAATGAATTAGCCTTCATTGCATTAAGTGGTGTAACTACGTGTAACATATCTACTCTCAATGTACAGACATTCATTCTGGATTCTGGATGTACACAACACATGGTAATGGAAGAAATGGTTGAATATATGGTAGATGTAAAACAAATCAATACAGTGAAAATTGGAACTGCAAAGAATGGTGAGGTATTGATAGCAAATAAGGTAGGTACAGTAAAAGCTACATGTCAAGGACGAGATATTAAAATAGAAGCACTTATTGTTAAAGGTATATCACATAACCTCATTTCTGTATCTAAATTATTAGAAAAAGGTTTTAAAGTAACATTTGTTAATGATATTAATGGTAAAAGACAAGCTATAATAAATAAAAATGGATCAAAATTTCAGTGTGAAATGTTGAATAATTTATTTTGTTTAAAGGTAGATTTTGTTAATAATAAAAATAATTATTGTAATGAGACAAACCATATAGTAAGTTATGTAAATGAGACTATAGATGATAATTTATGGCATAGGAGATTAGGGCACATAAATAGGCACAATTTAAAAATATTAGGACTACCTTATAGTTCAGAAATTTGTAAAGATTGTATGGAAGGTAAAAGTACTCGTAAACCATTTTATAAATGTTTTAAATACACAACAAAAATTGGTCAGTTGATACACTCAGATATTTCAGGTCCAATATCTACACCAACATCTGAAGGTTATAAATACTTTCAAGTATTAATAGATGATTACTCACATTTTTTAGTAGTAAGATTATTAAAAAATAAACATGAAGCTGATCAAAATATTATTCAGTTTATTAAGTTAATTAAAACTCAGCATAATCTAAAAACGCAAAGAATTAGAGTTGATAATGGTGGTGAATTTACATCTAATGCATTTAGAGATTTTTGTAAAAATAAAGGTATTAAAGTGGAATATACAATGCCATATACTCCACAAGAAAATGGGATTTCAGAGAGAATGAACAGAAGCTTATTAGACAAAGTAAGAACCAAATTTGCTGAAACTAATCTACCAAGAGAGTTATGGGGGGAAGCAATTCTGTGCTCAGCATATGAATTAAATAGAACACCTACTAAAGCAAATAACGGAGAAACACCTGCCACAAGATGGTACCATAAAAATGATTTATCAAAAATGAAAGTATTTGGAAGTAAGGCATGGGCAATAGTCTTACCAAAACAAAGCAAATTAGAAAGAAGAGCACAACCTTGCATAATGATAGGATATACAGGAGCTGGATATAGATTGTGGAATTATGAAACTAATGAAATTTTTTGTTCAAGAGATGTGAGATTTGATGAAACTTTAACTAATTATGATAAAATCACTAAGACCAATATGATGGATGATACAAATAAGAAAACAATAGAAGTACAGTATGAAAATGAACTGCAAGGGGGAATAAATGATATAGAGATAGAAATTCAAGATGATGATTTAAATGAAGCTAATGAAGATGATACAGAGAATATAAGTTCAGAAAATTATGAAGAATGCATGCCAAAGATAGAAACAACAAAAACAGGAAGAAAAATAAAAGCACCCAAATATTTAAGTGAATATGAGACTTATACAGCTTATTGTTTAATATCAACAGAAGAAAATGATCCTTTATGCTATGAAGATGCCATAAAAGATCCTGAATGGGTAGAATCTATAAGAAAAGAGCTACTTTCACATGAAAAGCTAAGTACATGGACAGAAGTAGAATTACCTAAACATAAAAAAGCTATTCAAACAAAATGGGTTTTTTAGAACAAAGGATGATGGAACTAAAAAAGCCAGAATAGTAGCCAAAGGTTTTCAAATTAAGGAGGAGAGTGAATTTGAACCAAATTACTCACCAGTAGCAAGAACATCAACAATTAAACTATTTTTATCAATAGCATTACAAAATGATTGGAAAATCAGACAAATGGATATTCCAACTGCATTTTTAAATGGATTACTTGAGAATGATGTCTATATTTATGCACCAGAAGGACTTACCATAAAAAACTCAAGAGTATTAAAATTGAATAGAGCTTTATACGGCTTAAAAGAATCATCAAAGGTATGGAATAATACATTCAATGAATTTGTTAGTCAAAATAATTTTGAAAGATCTATGTATGATTGTTGTTTATACAATAACAAAAAGGTTTGGATATTAATATATGTAGATGATATATTATTAATAGGAGAAGATAATGATGTTAACTGTATTATAAAATTATTACAAGACAATTTTCAGGCAAAAGATTTAAAGGAAGTTAAAAATTTTTTAGGTATGAATATTACTAGGACAGAAGATACTATTAAAATTGATCAAGAAAGATTTATAGAAAAACTTTTGGATCATTTTAATATGAAGGAATGTAAACCAAAGAAGACTCCAATGGAAAAGGGATTTCAATACATTGAGGACAGTGAAATTCTAACTAATATTCCTTACAGGCAATTAATTGGAGGACTGATGTATTTATCAACAACAAGTAGGCCAGACATTAGTTATGCAGTGTCATACTTGAGTAGATTTTTAGATTGTCCTACTACAGAAACATGGAATGCTGGAAAAAGAATTTTAAGATATCTACAAGGAAGTAAGAAACTGGGATTAACTTATTATAAAAATACAGATTGCCAGATAACACTCAATGGATATTCAGATGCCGATTGGGCAACAGATAAGAAGGATAGGAAAAGTGTGAGTGGATGTATATTATTATATGGTAATAACCCAATATCATGGTTTTCAAAGAAACAAAACTGTGTGGCATTATCAACAGCTGAAGCTGAATACATTGCAGCAGCACAAACCGCTCAAGACTTAATCAATGTCAAGGGTATACTGGGAAATTTTAATGTAACTGTCAAAACAATTTTATACTGTGACAATAAAAGTACAATTTTAATGTCTAACAGTAATGAAAATTCGAAAAGAGCAAAACATATAGATATAAAAAATCATTTTTTAAAAGACTTAATTTCTAAGAAAGAAGTTGTAATGGATTATATATCAACTGAGCAAAATTTAGCTGATATTTTAACTAAATCTTTAGGTACCGAGACTTTCATAAATCTAAGAAATAAAATTTATGTTATCTGAATTGTAATATCATTTTGTTAATTATAATAGTTACGATTTTCATGTTCCAACATTTCAAATCGAGGAGGAGTATTGGAATTTTGTACTTGGCAACACTGGCTCACAATGTCTTAAGTGATTCCGGTTGTCATATGTCAGTTGTAAAATATATTTTGTAGAATGTAGCACATGTTTAGTTTTTAGTACTTTTGTAAAATAAAGTAATCAAATAATTCACTGCTATCTCTGTATTACCTCACTGGGAAACAACAAATTCTAATACTAACTTCACAATACCTATTAATATATTAACCAAAACTAAGTTGAAGAATCAGAAATTTGGAAGTTTTGGTGTAAGAAATTTACATTAAGGAATCGTAAATATAACTTGAATTAATTTGAATCCGGACCTGGCTGTCGCCATATCGGATAGTACATAGTGTCACATCAAATGTTCTCAATTATTAAACACACAATTATCGTTTGTGGCAGATCCCCTCTTCCTCATATCTTTCTTGCAAATAACTCGTAGGTATATCATAGTACATAAAAAATCTCTGACGGTGATAATACTAATACATATTATTATCAACTGTGACTGTAACAACGATGTTTTCTGACTGCACAAAGTCAAAAATCTCTGAACTTTATTCTGGTGTAGATGATATTATTAATGAAAATGCTTCAATTAACTTGTGTAATAAGTCTATATCGTACAAGTCTATTTTGGAGAAAATCAAACATCAACCATTTATTGATGTATGTAGGAAGAATTGTCTCTTGGATTTGGGCTCAATCGATCACTCTGCCATAGATACAACATTAAAGAATATTGCCGTTATAGAAAAAAGTGAAAAGAATGCAGTTATTGAAATGTGTTGTATTGACAAATTTCCAAATGTTAAATTTATGCATTCTGAAATGAAAAAAAATAATGGTGTTCCATTACTAGCTCCTCCAACATTTTCGATTGATTTGTCTAAGGAAACTATTGACGCCTATACTGGAGTTCGCATCAATACTGGATATATTGTTAATATTAAACAAATGCCAATGGAGAAAACTGTTTCTAATGAAAGTATTGTTGATAATGGTATTAGATCTGAAAGTAATTTTGTTATTGTACCACAAATTGTATCTAAGCATGATGGACTGATACAAGCTCTGTATCCTCGTGATCCTGTAGATACTGGATTATTAACTATCAACTTTACTACCACTAAACAATTGGATACGTCTCTGCCAATGCAAGTTGAAATGAAGGCATACAGTGTATTGCCACCTATGGATACTGTAAGTATTATTGACTATACTAATAGAGAATCCTATACCATTAGTCATGCAAAATTATTTAAAGCTAAAGACACTCCTGGTGTCTATGGAAGATTTGTTAGGAATACCAAAACTAAGTTTATGGCTAACAAATTTGATTTGACTAGCATTCCCAATTCGTTGCTATTGGATACATTTAATCATAAGACAAATCCAATTAGTATATATACCAAAAAATCAAGCTTGATAGAATAGTTACTTTGTTTTCAAGTCGCAGACGAGAATGGTGTAACCCAAATTTGGTGACATTTTCTGGAATTTATAATCCAATCAACGAAAAATCATCACCTGCTATAATAGTTAATGGTTCTAAAATTGAACACAATACACATGGAATGACGTTTATTGATAAAAATATTCGATTATTCAGTGTCGACAGCGAGTTTAGTCCTGATATGCGAATTTTCAATGGTTCATTTTTTAATCATCCATTTTATCGTGTTGTCAAAGAAAACATTTGTCAAGTTAGCAGAGCAGTACGCAATTTACGTGCTGGTGCAAGAATTTGCCAATCTATATCTAAATCTAAACCAGAGCTTGGATTTTATGCGTTGTTGAAGATATTTGATTACAACCATGATATTAAAGAAGATGATCCAAACCTTTCTAAACAAATTGATAAATCTGATGAAGATTTGTTTAAGGAACGACCAATTGCGGTTAATAATTGTTATAGTGTAGATGTGTTTAATGGATTAAAGTCTTTGGCACAGCTACTTTGTGATGACAACTTTACACACGAGCAATTGGAAATTTTGAGAGTGTTTGAACCATTGGAAAAGTCTAAAGATTCGGAAGCTGCTGGTGTTAAACGTAAAAATGCTGATGATCTTAATGTTGGTGATAAAAAGCGTGAAAATATGTAATAACTGTTGTAAATTGTTGTAAGTATAATGAAATTCAATAAGCTTTGCAGGAGACGTAAATATTAGCAGATGTAGATATCTAATCAAATTACATTTAATATTATCTTAAATACAAATTTATGTTTTAATTTTTGAATGAATGCGATCCTATTTTAATAGTTTACCCCCAAGCCCATGGAAGACTTTTAATGGGTCATTCGACCAAGCATTTATAAAATAAGACTACAATATATAGTAACAACTTTAGAAACTTTGTCGTCAATTCTTACCGGTAAAAGTTTTTCTTGGCCAAATATTTTTGTACGGCATTTATAACTTAGAAAAAATAATGACCTACGACTTAATGCCGTACAAAAATATTGGTACCAGAAGCAGGGAACATTTTTTTATTTTCGGAAACTGTTTCCCCATTTTGACACAGTATGGAATTATGTGGAATATATGGAATTAATACATAAAGTTTCGAATCGGTATATAAATTAATTTTTTTGCAACGCTGTAAAATTTGGCTGGAACAAGGATGAGAAATCTAAGGAGCAACCCTTAATTTGAACACCCATGCTTTGTGTAGCGATAAGAATTCGCGGCATAGTTTTTAAAGTTGTTATTTATTACCTATTGTAGTATTAATTTATATGCGATTCATGCTGGATCGAATAACCAATAATATAATAAAGATATAATATAATATCGAATAACGATAATAATTATGAGTTCATTGTGTCCAAGACTGAGATGTAGTGCATAAAAGTCCTTCCCTTTTTAAATTTAATGTTTGTTTCGTCCCTTCTAAGTGTTTTCTGTTTTAGTGTGTTTTAAATTGTCCTTAATTGTTTTAATTCTAATATTTTATTTGCTCGACTTTGCAATAATCTACTATTTTGCCAATAGAACTTTATCAAAAAAATTTGATAATTACAAGTTGAAAAATAATTGCACACCCACACCATTTGTACATCTAAACTTAATCATTGTCATAAAACTGTCACCTTCAAAAAACAATTACTCAATAAATAACACACATTTCATAAATATATCTCTCGAATAAGTATAAATAACTTTTAAATAATACAATGGTATACAGATTGAACCAAATTAAAACGGAACATACAATTTAATACATGTCTGTTTGAACTGCATTTGAAATAGTGGACCAATATAAAACTTGGACAAAAATAAATCCGTACCTGGGTATAGACATTGTATAAAATATCGTTCAACTATCTGTCTCACAACAATGTTGTTTGCGTAAGACGGGTTTGTCTAAGGTAGCGATAATAGTTCAGGAAGTGAAACTCGAAAAAAGTTAAAACCTCGCAATTTTTTCGTCCTGCATGTATCCAGTTGAAATTTTAACAGAAGGTAGGTGATAGCCCAAGGATCAAAATCTATATCGAACCGAAGTGCGCTGAAGGGTTTTAGGGCTGAAAACTACCCCTGATTGTCAAAAATTATAAAATAACATATTAAACCTGAATATGGGTAAAATTTGGTTTGAATTAATAAAATAATGATAGTTTCGTGCTTTTGAATAAAGTTCCATCATATTTCAACCCTTAAAAATCGACCCTTATTAGAGATTAATATAAAAAATTAGTAATGCGAAGAAAATGATTTCACCTTGGAGAACGATTTGCATAAAAATTTGGAATTAAGCTCAACTCACCCTCTGCTTTATAGTTTATGTCATGCCGATGAACCTTGATTGTTCTTAGGGGTGAAAACTACCCCTAATTTTCAAAAATTTTATAATAATATTATAAATCTTAAGATGAGTGAAATTTGGTTTGGATTAGTTAAATAGTGATTTTTTTATACTTTAAAATACAAATTCATACATTTTCAACCCTTAAAAATCAATTGTTATGAGTGCTATAGGTGAAAACAATTTTTTGCCAAAATTTTGCAACTTTTCAACTTTTGAAAATCACCCTTTACAACATTGCAGTTTTTATAAACTAATTTATAAGATATAAATTGAAAAAAGTAGAATTAAATACAAAAAAATTTATCAACATAAAAAGGACCATATATTCTTATACATTTACATAAATAATGGAATTGGATTACTAATGGAATTTTCCGGAAAAAAATTCACTGGTTTTTTTAACGTATTTCCTTTAATTTTTAACGATAGAGTGTTTCTTCAAAAACGATTTGTAGAGGTTTTAAAGAGCTACAAGGATCTGTGAATTAAATCTTTTTGGAACCCTTGGTTTTTAAATGGGGTGAGTTTAAAGGGCTCGAAAAAGATGGTGCTTGATCGTAAATCGATGCTTTAAACGGCTATATCTCGCCAAATATTCATTGTACAACAAATCTAAATGAAGGATAATTTTAGTCATTAAAAAAGCTACAATCTGGTAATTTGTATTTTTTTCATATATTCAGTATTTTCGGGCATATTTAAAAAAAGAAGGGTAAAAAATATGAAATTGTAAATCGTTTCTCGCTTTAAGCTGTACTTTTTCTAACACAAAGCATTTTAAATGGGTCAAACTTCTTGGACGTATTAACAATACATGTACAAAGGGAATTTCAGAAGGGTGAAGATCGATTTTAATTATGGGGATGGTTAGGGGGTTGTTTTCATCGATTTTTTCGTAAAAAATGAGGTATTGACCTTAATAACTCACTCAATTTTTGAGCTAGAGTCTTTTTTATGATAGGTCTATTTATGCTCTTTAAAAAAGGTTTTGTGAGTTTTCTTCCAAAAATGCATCATTTTCCCGATATTTGATTTTGAATCTTTCAAATTTGGCATTTGAAGAAAACCGCTGAACATTGATAGGCCGTATTTCGGTTCCTATTATATCGCAAAAACATTTTAAAAAATGAATTGTATTTGTCTTTTTAAAAGCTACAAATTTTTTCTCTACAATTTTTTTGATAAAATGTACCATTTTCGAATTATTCGCGAAAAATTGATTAAAAACGTGGATTTTTTCGCCTAAAAGTTATTACTTTCAATCGCGAATAACTTGAAAAATATCATTTTATAAAAAAAATGTATAGCACATTTTTTGTTTAGAATCACTTTTTTAATCGAAACCTGTAGTTAAAACGTAAAAAAAAATTTCACCCCGGAGATGGGGTGGCAACCACCCCCTAGGCGCACTTGGGTTCGATATAGATTTTGATCCTTAGGCTATCTGTTAAATTTCAAGTCAATCCACGGAGCACAAAAAAATTGCGAGGTGAAATGCTTCATTTCCTGGACTATAACTGGTTTGACAGCATAAATCGTAGATTTATGTGTAGCTTTCAATTTTTATGAGTTCAGAATCCAGCAGCCCGCTGAAGAATTGGATTTTTATAATATAATTATTTGACAATCTTTTGTTGGCCAACCACTTACAGCAGAATTGAGCCGAAATACATTATATTCCTATGTTCCGAATTTATTTCGTTCAATCTGTATAACATCACTTTCATTTAACAAACAATCACACACATATCTCTGCTTCATTGGATCAAATCTATCTCCTCAAGAACTTCCCGTTTACTGTCAAACAACTACAATAGCAGAATTGAGTTCTCTATTCAACAATACATAGTAGTTTCAACCATGTTCTACCATCCAATAATTAATAGAGTACCGGCATCATTTATTTAACTTTGTATCGAAGCCTGAAGATGCTTTGCATATTATAGAAAGCGAAACCGGTCGTCTGATAGTTAAATTAAATTGATTGTGAGTAAGTCTTATTTATTATTTCTTTACATATTTCCAATAGAACATGTTTGGGACATAGGCAGATAACTACGACAACTACCTAATGCACCAAACACATTTAGATGAACTGTTTTGGCGGTTGGTTGAAATTTAGGATCAAATTGATCAAGAAGAAATCATAACGATAATTCTCAGTATGAGAGATCGTTGTCAAGCAGTAATAAATGCCAGAGGAGGCAATACTTGATAGCAGTACACGGTACTAGTATTTTCTTCAACTTTAAAAATTTCAATTTCGTCATTAATTTATAATGTTAGTTTGTTTAGATGTTTGGATTTATGATGTTATATTGTTAATTTCAATACATTTTTGTAAAACAAGAAAAGTTTTTTATTTAAGGTGTTCTAAAACAACCACAAAGCAGAAAAGGGAAAACAAAAATTTTTTCATTATAACTCAAAATAAGAATTTTAAAATTATGCGTTAATTTTGAAGCGCAGTGTATTATATTAGATAAATAAATGTAATATAGTATATCCACAGACTTCGTGTAAGTAAGGTCTCCTCCAATTTAGACAATTGCGCAATTGTCACAATCATTGAAGCACGTCAAGAGTGCAGTTTGTTGGTGGAGAGGAAATTGATTATAATTTGTATCGCACAATTGCTTAATTCTATGCAGCTTGCAATAACAATGATAATTTTTAGATTATTAGGTATAGTAGTACACAAATATGTCACAGTAAGCCACCGGATTGTGATTGAGTTGTAAAGAGTGTCACTTTAAAATCTTCAATTATAAATTACAAGATTTAAACAATACATAAAATAATATCAATATATACCTACTTATTTTATTGATTTTCCAAAAATATATGATTTACATCGATAGGAAAACACACATATTTTCTATATTTTATACATTTTTTTCTAAATTTTATACAATTTTTCACATGGTGGTAATACGATTTAAGTTTTTTTTTCGTTTTAGGGGTTGTAGGGTTATTTCTAATATTTTAAACATAGGTATTTTTAAGATTTTTTCATTTTAAAAAATTGTTTATTATAAATTTATTTATAACATTAGTACATTATAGTACACATTTTTAAGAGTATTATCTGAAATTTTATTATAAAAATATTAAAAACTAGCTGACCCGCCGAAGTTCATATCGCCTTAAAATTAAATAATATTCAAAGTTCAATAAGGTCCTATTTCGAGTCTGTTAAGTAACAGAAATCTCTGGGTAATGAAAAGAATTCGGTCGAAGTATCAACAGCGACTTTACCATTTCCATTATCTAACAACTGCTACGACAACACAATTGCAAGTTGAACTTGTTACAAAAACACTTGCATGTTATTTATCAATTGGAGCGTCTTTACATGCCGCAACAAATTGGATGGTGTTATGTACACGTTGAGTTTGTCCGCAGCAGTAAATTGGGGAATCTTATATACTAAAACGCTAAGCCCTTTTCTTGTCCACCACTTTACTCAAAAACCATATTAGATAATTAAAATATTTTTTTCGGATTATTATTAGTATTACGTATGAGATTGTCAAGATATACTTTTGGTACAAAAATTCACTTCCGGTTTTGAGATGACCGAAAGTTAAAATTTACTTAAGTTTTAGACCCCATAATGTATATATGTGTAATGAAGCTAAATATGTACTTCCGGTTGCGATCCGCCACCGGAAGTGACCCGAAACGCACATAAAACGTCAAGATAGAGCAAATCTGACACCGGATTCGTGATCAGCATGCAAAATTAACTGCTAAATGATATCTATGTCGACATTTGATGAACTAAAAATTGCATTCCGGTTTTGAGGTCGACTTCCGTTCCGTTTCGTTTTTATTAAAAAGTAAAAGTTTACATAACTCCCGGTGCCAAGCAAAAATTTTCAGAAAATGGAGTATATTGTAACAAAAAACATTGTTTTCGACGAAATATTTCGTGATATTTAATACACTTTTTACTTGCATTATTATTGATGAATGTTATGTATATTCTTGCTTATATTGTTTGTATTGATCTCTTAATTTTTCTCGCAAAATAAAAATTTCATTTAAAAAACTCGATGTCGAGTTGGTCCGCTAGTAATTATTAAATAAGTAACAGTCTGACGATAGAATCATGGCTCCACCAAAAATGTTTTTGATTGACATGAATATCTTTCAAAGTTCTGTCCAGTCCCTGTAATGACCTCTTGTGGGCCAATGTACCGGGTGGTCCAATAAGCCGATCTCTCGGCTATAGAAACTATTCATGTTATAACTTTAGGAAAAAAAATTCCTTAGTGAAAGTGGCCAAGAGAAATCGCTGGAAATAACTTTCAAGTTTCTGGGTTAACCGCTAGGGGGCGTAACATGTGAAGAAAACTTTGAAAAGCAGTTTTTTGGGAAATATGCCCAAGTATACCAAGTGTTAAATAAATAAACTAGAAAGAGGCCTAAATTTTGCACAAAGTTGTTCAAGTACTTTATTTTTTCAAATAAAGGACGGGGGAGAGTGGACAAGTATTTGTGGATAAATACCTATAACTTTGGTTTAGATCAACTGATTTTAACGAAATTAGTGTCATTAGAAAGAGTGTGGATGAATTAATTTACTACTACTATAAAATAATTGCATTTAGTTTTACTTGTCATAGGTAGAGAGTACTTTGGATAGACAAAATTAAAAATTGTTTTTCTTCAAAATGTAATTGAACTGAATTAAATTCGTAACAAAATGGCGCAAATTTTAATTGTCATGGGTAGAGGATACTTTCGAATAGAAAAAATTAAAATTTGTTTTTCTTCAAAATGTTTAATGGAAACACCTATTTATTGTAAATTATAATGGAACTGGATTACATTCGTGACAAAATGGCGCAAACCGCATGTTGATAGCTTTTGTCGAACTCGAAATATGAATAAAAACGCATAAACATAAGTAGTATTGACTCACCCTTTATTATAACTTAAAATTAAATATGTGAAAGATCATACAAATATCTCGATCATTAAAACTTATTGTCCAATTAAATGTTCAAATTGTTTTCCATCGTTGTCCACACAAAAAGTACCTTATGTTACTGTGGCTGATGTATTTCCTTCAAGAACTTTTTGGGATTAGCATTGGACTAAAAAACTGCAAACAAACACAACTGTGTCTCACTTAAGCTGCAAATTGGACTGAACTGACCAGGGAACACAAATAGACAATTCTTTGGAAGTTTGACACTCGATTCGGGCTTTGGATTATCCTGGATGACAAAAAACTGCAATTTTCAAAACTCGGTCTCTCAAACACTCCTGCTTAAAACCATGTGTACCTCTCACATTATTATAATGCTACTTTACAAAAATCTCCCACATATGGCACAACACAACAAATCGGTGATTAACTCAACAAAAACTGCCACATTGCCTTTGAGCTTAATTCACCTCTCCACAAAAAAAATATGCCGACTTTTGAAGACTATAGACGCCGAAGTCTTTCTCTTTCAAAATACCAATCCAAACTAAAACTCCACACTGCTACTATCTACACATTTTCCCATAACAAAAACGAACAACACAATAACGAATTAGAAGAAAATCCGGACTAAACAATGAAATGACCACTTCGCCGATCTATTGTAGAGTGATATAATTCTTTTCCCTGCGTCACGTTCTCACCAACCTGAGTGGATGTTTATTTGATGCGCAATATTAAGCAACATCACGATCAAAATGATGCAATTAAAATTATTATATATAAACCAGAACTGGTTATAAATAAATAAAGGATCGAAAATACTTGTCGGAATTTTGATACATACGAGGGGTAATAGAAATGCTACAAAATGCGGACGAACCAAAACAAGTTTCGTTTGGCGGCAAAATCAAAACGTAGGTTCCGAATTTTAGGCGGCAAATTAAAAAAAACTGCTCTGAATTTTAGCACCAAAATTCAAAAAGTATGCTTTTAATGGAAAATAAATATAATCATAAAATAAGAAATAAAAACTTATTCTATGCCAAAAGATATATATTTTCTCTGTCCAAAAATATATTATACACTTACGCATTTTTATATATAAATGTATTACATAATATCAGATATTACATTAACAAACAAAAAGGTATTACATTAACAAAAGGTATTTTTTTATTACATTATTGCTTAATTTTATACATATATAACACCATTTCATAGTTGTGTATTTTTATTACTTGTGTTGCATTTAGCAGCATCATAATTTTGTGTTTAATATATTGTTAATGTTTTATGCATGTATTTTATTTGTCGGCTCCTAACAAGTTCCCTGATAAAATAATAGCTCTGAACAATTACTATCTTTAAATATTAATATGCTTTTGAACTGTAGAAAGATCAGGCTGATTAAGTTTCGTAGGTAAGTAAGTGTAATTCTTAATATATTTATTATTTGTTTATATATTGCGTTGACCAGATTTATTTGATAATTTACTGTTGGTATCTTTCCTTGGGTTTGATCTCTGAACCTAAATATCTTTTCTTATCTCTTTTCTTTTCTAAGGTTTTCTTAATTTTCTCCTTAACCCCAAAAAATTGAGTGGCGCCCTGTTTCTATCTTCTCTTATCTTTGGTAATTTTACCCATCTATCTTTTTGTTTATTTCTGTATCTTTTCTAATATCTCTTATCCTATCTTTACCTATTTCTTCCGTTGGACCCATTCCCGGTTCCAAAAGCTAGTTTCGAACCCACGACTCGCTCTCCACCAACCATCTGGCTGCCGTCCGCCAGACGGACGTCCGTCCTCGTGTTCCGAGGTTACAAAGTAGCGTGTTAAATATTGGTGATTTTGAATAACATATATCAATGTCCAATATTTATTTGATGGGATGTATCTTTCATTCTCTCTGTCTTCCATTTATTTCCTACGAAGTACGGGGATTGTTCAAATACGTTTAAAATATTGACGCGTGTTATTTATACTTTAACTTGATTACCGGTAAATGTAATATTGAACTGCTCTCGAGTTGGAGAGAAATGTTTCAACTGACTGATTGTCACATTGTTTGTCAGCAATTTCCTTTAAAAAATGAACAAATTTTACATTTATAAGGTTTTTCCCCAGTATGAATTCTCAAATGGATTTTTAACTTATCTTTCCGGGGAAACTGTTAAAACAAACTTCACACTTATAAAGCTTTTATTCAGAGTGCAATCTCATGTGTATTTTTAAATTATTTAATTGAGTAAACTGCTTAAAACAAATTTCGCACTTATAAGGTTTTTCCCCAGTGTGCAATTTCATATGTTGTTTTACATTACCTAATGAAGTAAACTGCTTAAAACAAATTTCGCATTTGTTAGATTTTTCTCCAGTATGCACTCTCAAATGTCTTTTCAAATTACTTAATTGAGTAAACTGCTTAAAACAAATTTCGCACTTATAAAGTTTTTCCAGAGTATGCAATCTCAAATGTCTTCTTAAATTACTTGCATCACTAAACTGCTTAATACAAATTTCGCACTTGTAAGGATTTTCTCCAGTATGAATTCTAAAATGGAGTTTTAAATTATCTTTCTGGGAAAACTGCTTTAAACAAATTTCGCACTTATAAGGTTTTTCGCCAGTGTGCAATCTCAAATGTCTTCTTAAATGATTTGCATTGCCAAACTGCTTAATGCAAATTTCGCACTTGTAAGGATTTTCTCCAGTATGAATTCTCAAATGGATTTTTAACTTATCTTTCCGGGGAAACTGCTTAAAACACATTTCACACTTGTAAGAATTTTCTCCAGTATGAATTCTCAAATGTAGTTTTAAAACTTCTTTCCGGGAAAACTGCTTAAAACAAATTTCACACTTATAAGGTTTTTCTCCAGTGTGTGTCATCATATGTTTTTTCAAACCATTTTTCAAAGAGAATTGCTTCAAACAAATTTCACAGTTATAAGGATTTTCTCCAGTATGAATTCTCAAATGGATTTTTAAATTATCTTTCCGGGAAAACTTCTTAAAACAAATTTCACACTTATAAAGTTTTTCCAGAGTATGCAATTTCAAATGTCTTCTTAAATTACTTGCATCACTAAACTGCTTAATGCAAATTTCGCACTTGTAAGGATTTTCTCCAGTATGAATTCTCAAATGGATTTTTAACTTATCTTTCCGGGGAAACTGCTTAAAACACATTTCACACTTGTAAGAGTTTTCTCCAGTATGAATTCTCAAATGTAGTTTTAAAACTTCTTTCCGGGAAAACTGCTTAAAACAAATTTCACACTTATAAGGTTTTTCTCCAGTGTGTGTCATCATATGTTTTTTCAAACCATTTTTCAAAGAGAATTGCTTAAAACAAATTTCACAGTTATAAGGATTTTCTCCAGTATGACTTCTCAAATGGATTTTTAACTTATCTTTCCTGGGAAACTGCTTAAAACACATTTCACACTTGTAAGAATTTTCTCCAGTATGTATTCTCAAATGGAGTTTTAAATTATCTTTCCGAGAAAACTGCTTAAAACAAATTTCGCACTTATAAAGTTTTTCCAGAGTATGCAATTTCAAATGTCTTCTTAAATTACTTGCATCACTAAACTGCTTAATACAAATTTCGCACTTGTAAGGATTTTCTCCAGTATGAATTCTCAAATGGATTTTTAAATTATCTTTCCGGGAAAACTGCTTAAAACAAATTTCGCACTTATAAGGTTTTTCCCCAGTGTGCAATTTCATATGTTGTTTTATATTACCTAATCGAGTAAACTGATAATCTAATCGATATTTTCCTTTAGATGAAGATTCAGTTGTTTTCATAATTTTCATTCTGTTCTCCTCCTGAAGGCAACCTAAAATACAAACCAATCATAAAAATTGTTTTACATATTTTTTTTTAATATGGAATAGGAACAAAAATGAATACAGCCGTGAAAAATAACTTTAATAAACTGCGTAAAGTATAATAAAATGTTCAACAAAGTCGACTTAATGATATAAAATTGGGTATGATATAGTATTTATAAAGTGAGTTGAAACACCCAAAAAACTGTTTGCCGACAAACATTAAAAAAATACAGTCCTCTCTCTCTATAACGATGTGCAAGGGACCGGGAATTTTCATCGTTATAAGGAGAGGTCGTTATACAGAGAGAGGTAAAATTCGGTACTGTAATATTAATAATACTGTACTAAATAACATATTTTAATTTAAAAAATTTATCAAAACGAATATAAATGAATTAACACTGTATTGTACACCACATAGATTTATTAAGAATAATATAAGCAATAGAGTATAAAAAAATGACTGTACAATTAAAAAATGTGTACTGTACAATAACAAAATAATATTCTACTGTAAAATATATTTAGCCTACATTAACAAAAAAGTCTGTCACCTTAGTCTGTCTCCTTTTTACAGAACTGACCTGACCTTGTCCTAAAGACACATATAATTTTCTACAGCCATCGTCTTCCTGGTGGATGAAGAATCAATGCAGTACTTGCAATGCCTGCTGAGGGGTCGGAGCTAGTTCTGGCTCTGCTTTCACTTCCGGGTCACTGTTGTCTTCTTCTTCTATACGATCTGCTTGTAGGATATCCTCGTCAAAAAGTCCAGATGTTTTAGCTACATTTTCATCAACTTCTTCAAAATCTGTTAGCTCTTCTGGTCCGTAGGTTCAAAGTTCAAACTCTCTAGTCCGTAAGTTCAAACTCTCTGGCCCAAACATCTACTGGCAGGTCATCTTCATCATCAGTCAATTCTTGATCTTCCAGCCATCCTGCGTGTTTAAATGAATGTTTTATTGTATTGCTCCTCACTTCATCCCAGGATTTACTAATCATTATGATGGCGTCAAGAATGTTTAGTTTAAGATCGCCATTATTTTCAACCAATTCCATCAAAAGTCTTCTCCTGTAATGGCATTTCAAACTCTTGATGACACTTTGGTCCATGGACTACTTGTTGTGTTTGCTGGCAAAAACAAAATTCAATCTTTTGAAGGTCGCACAGTACAGGATGAGGAGTAGGATAATTGTCTACAAGCAGAAGAATGTTTTTCTCTTTAAGCTCGATATCCCACTTTCTTATTGCTTTTTCAAACATTTCCGAAGTCATCCACGCACTCTTGTATGCTTTATAGGTCACCGGTAGATTTTTCTGTTTTTAAAGCAACGTTGGTTTTTTGACTTCTCTATCACTAATAATTTTCGCTTCACCGAACCTGTCATGTTAGCGGCCACTAAAACTGTAATAAGTTCCTTAGACAGCTTTCCACCAACGAATTTTTCCGATTTAATTTTAAAGTTCTGTTTGATGTCATTTTAAAAAACAATCCCGTCTCATCAGCATTGAAAATGTCGTCTCACTGATATCGTGCCTTCAGTCTAGGCCACACGTTTTCTAGCCAATTATCCGTTACGTTTTTTTTTTTACATCGGGAGCTTCTCCGCTGATTTGCCCTTAGTTGATCTTGTGCCGCAGCTTCCACTTGCTCAGCCAACCCTCACATGCCTTGAAATGCTCAATTCCAAGCTAAGTTACAAAAACTCAGCTTTTAACCTGACCACAGGCCCAGACAGTGGAATATGGTTCACATCCTGCTGCTGGAACCACTGAAGCATAGCGCGATCTAAATCTTCGTGATGAGGTTTCCCCAACTTCTTCCTGCTACCGCCCTCCATCCCCGCTTCAAGACAGTTTTTTCTATCCTTTCATATCATAGCCACTGTTCACTGAGACAGCCCCATACGACGAAACACATCCGATTGCTTTTCACCTTTCTCTATTGCTCGAGTTATAGATAACTTTTTCTCCACCGAGAGCACTTTACGCTTTTTCGAAAACATGTTGACTGTTGAAACAGTAAGACACAACTCAAACTGGAAATGAAAAGTCGTCAATAGATGACAACATCTGTGTGATAAAAGCGAGTCACTTAATTCTCTGATGAGAATGAGTAGAATGAGTGGCCGCATTCCTTAAGCGCAAAACAAAACAACCGCTGGACATTGACCTTGCCACTCATGATGCAGGTAGTCTGAACTATAAGCACAATAACACATTTGCCATCGACTATTGAACGCTAAAAAGTCATCGCTATAAAGAGAGAACGATATCGGTATAGAGAAAGAATTAATACATTGTCCTTATGACGAACCAACCAACGTTTACTATTTTCATCGTTATAGAGGAATTATCGTTATATAGGGAATCGTTATAAAGAGAGACTACTGTAATATCATATTACCAGACATGGGCGCATCATTTATTTTTATAATCAAATATAGATTAATGTAGAACAGAAAAAGGACAATTTTAATTTACTTAAAGCTGTCGTTAAGTACATAAGTGTATAAAAAAGTTTTTTAACATGTCATATTTAGCAACAAAAATAATTTATAATTAAATGGCAATTGGTTATCTATGGCAATCTTAATTATACTTCGTAAAATAATAAACATTTTAGCTGTACAGCACTGGCATGAATCAACAACGTTTCTTGTCTGTACCCATCGCCGCCGCCGGTTAGAAGGGAACCTCCAAGTAGCGTGTTAAATATTGGTGATTTTGAATAACATATATCAATGTCCAATATTTATTTGATGGGATGTATCTTTCATTCCCTCTTTCTTCCATTTATTTCCTACGAAGTACGGGGATTGTTCAAATACGTTTAAAACATTGACGCGTGTTATTTATACTTTAACTTGATTACCGGTAAATGTAATATTAAACTGCCCTTATAAATCGAGTCGGAGAGAAATGTTTCAACTGACTGATTGTCAGATTGTTTGTCAGCAATTTCCTTTAAAAAGTGAACAAATTTTACATTTATAAGGTTTTTCTCTAGTATGAATTCTCAAATGGATTTTTAACTTATCCTTCCGGGGAAACTGTTTAAAACAAATTTCACACTTGTAAAGCTTTTATTCAGTGTGCAATCTCATGTACCTTTTTAAATTACTTAATTGAGTAAACTGCTTAAAACAAATTTCGCATATGTTAGATTTAATTTCGCACTTGTTTGGATTTTTCTCCAGTATGCACTCTCAAATGTTTTTTCAAACTACCTGATTGAGAAAACCGCTTAAAACAAATTTCGCACTTATAAGGTTTTTCCCCAGTGTGCAATCTCAAATGTTTTCTTAAATTACTTGCATCACTAAACTGCTTAATACAAATTTCGCAGTTGTTAGATTTAATTTCATACTTGTTAGATTTTTCTCCAGTATGCACTCTCGAATGTCTTTTCAAATTACCTGATTGAGAAAACCGCTTAAAACAAATTTCGCACTTATAAAATTTTTCCCCAGTGTGCAATCTCAAATGTGTTCTTAAATTATTTGCATTGTTAAACTGCTTAATACAAATTTCGCACTTGTAAGGTTTGTCACCAGTATGAATTCTCAAATGGATTTTTAACGAATCTTTACGGGAAAACTGCTGAAAACAAATTTCACACTTGTAAGGATTTTCTCCAGTATGAATTCTCAAATGTAGTTTTAAAACTTCTTTCCGGGAAAACTGCTTAAAACAAATTTCACACTTGTAAGGATTTTCTCCAGTATGAATTCTCAAATGGATTTTTAACTTATCTTTCCGGGGAAACTGCTTAAAACAAATTTCACACTTGTAAGGATTTTCTCCAGTATGCCATTTCATATGTTGTTTCAAAGAACTTCCTGTAACATACTGATTAAAACAAATTTCGCACTTATAAGGTTTTTCTCCAGTGTGCGATGTCAAATGTATTTTTAAACTACCTTTTTCAGTAAACTGCTTAAAACAAATTTCACACTGGTAAGGTTTTTCTCCAGTATGCACTCTCAAATGCCTTTTCAACTTACTTGCATCGCTAAACTGTTTAAAACAAATGTCACACTTGTTAGGTTTTTCTCCAGTATGCACTCTCAAATGTGTTTTCAAATTACTTAATTGAGTAAACTGCTTAAAACAAATTTCGCAGTTATAAGGTTTTTCCCCAGTGTGCGATGTCGAATGTATTTTTAAACCACCTTTTCCAGTAAACCGCTTAAAACAAATTTCGCACTCGTAGGGTTTTTCTCCAGTGTGTATTCCCATATGTCGCTTCATATGTACTAGTTGAGAAAACTGCTTTAAGCAAATTTCGCACTTGTAAGGTTTTTCTCCAGTGTGTGTCATCAAATGTGTTTTCATATGATGTGTTCGAGAAAACTGCTTTAAACAAATGTGACACATGTAGGGTCTTTGGCCGGTCTTAAATTTCATATTCGTATTAACTGTTGTTTCTTTAGTGAAAATAGTGTTATACTTTTCATTTTTAGTTTTCATAATTTTCTTATAACTGTTGTCCTTCTGAAGGCAACCTAAAATAAAACCCAACCTTATTTTTTTTTACAAGGAAAAATTTACATCAAAAATAGAAAACAGAAACAAAAATGAACACACATTTAATAAACAATGTGAAGCATACTAAAATGTTATGTCACCAAAAGATTCAAATAACAATTATGAACAAATTATAATAAAATAATAAAAAATATGACGCATAACTAGCTGAAAATCCACAGAAAAAGATGTGGTAATGATTTACAAAGTGAGTACTCTTCAAACTGTCCAATTTGCTGTGGACTTTTGTGCACCTTAAAAAGGAAAAGCTCATATTTTAATGTTTCCTTTGCCGGCAACTACTAAAGTGCCCATTGTGTAATACAAAAAAGAATTTAAAAAAGTTAATAGAATAACCAAAATTACTTTAAAATCCAACAAAAATATGTAGGAAGTTATTTTACGTCGTCCTTTAATAAAATCATCTTTATTTTGACATATATGCATTCACAGTTTTGCGTCCTTTATTACTACCCTTTAATAAAATAAAGATCTCCTTTATTTGAATTAAATTAAATACATGCCATAGAATTGTAACGTTATAAACGTCACATTTTTATTAATTTATATTTAAATAATTATATCATTTTAATTTCATTATTCATTTATTAGTTTCTTTACCTTTAGTTTAATTTTACTATTTTTTATTTAAAAAGTAGTTGGCGCTCTCTGTTCCTCTCTTTCTTCCTCTATCATTATTTACAATCTCTTTCTGTTCCGTAGAATAAATATTCGCCCTCTCTCTTTCTGTCTGACAGACTGTTCTGTTCCGTGTTGGCAGACAAGATAGTTTCATGATATCTATAGCAACATTCTATGACATCTGTCCTGTGTATTATTATATTTATATTATTATATAATATAAATATAATAATACACATACCATTATTTATATACCTTGTACTAATTATGCATATATTTATATAACTTTATAAATTAATTGTTAATATTTACTTGTAAAACAACAGTTTTTTGGAAGCAATTGCTAATGACATACTTCGAGGTTGATTGATTTTTAACTTCTGTTAACTGTTTAATTTAACTTTTATTTTACAGTATACATAATGTTTCAATGTATTAAAGTTTAATATTTATTTACAAATCCATAATTCGATCAAAACTTAACTATGGAGCCATTGTCTATAACTCCTCCAAAAAAACACATTTGAAGTCACTGGATATTATCCAAAATAGATGTCTACGTATTTCAAATAAGAACATCCAAGTTCACTTTTTATGGGTGTCTTCTCATGTAGGAATTGAAGGTATCAAAGCTGTAGATAAACTAATAATAGGCTAATGACTCTGCGTGGTTGATGCATTAATAAAAAAAACATAATGTTTACTATATTATTATGTATATATTACTATATTAAACCTACTATAGCAAACATGATAATGATGAAATATGGAAATTTAATGAGCCCTGTTTTTTTATACACATTATAACTATGAGATAAAATAAACCTTTTTTCTTACCTGGGTAATCTTCCCCTGGGTCATTTTTTAAATCTTCCACATCTATTGATGAGGATAGCTCTTTATCATTTTGGTCAAACTCTTCAAATTCTTTCTTAATTTCCACTTTACCTTCCATAGCTAAAGAAACTAAATAATAATATTTTGCAAAATTCAGGTTATAATCTTAAAACATTGTAACATCAACATTCTAACATAAGTGTAATAAACCCACAAATTGAAAAAAAAGTACTCTATGACATGACAGTGCAGTGTGACCAGTTTCACATTTTTTGTGTATGAGGATCATCAACTTTTAATCATTGGCATTATTGAATTTAATGTAATGATCCTCTCATGAGAAATCCTTGTAAACCTTGGAAAAAAGGGGTTTTCTTCAATATTGGTGCAATGAACAATGAACATAACCTTGTTGATATGTTTGACGTTAAAATGTTAAAATGTTAAATGTAAGCTTAATATACGTCAATTATTGGCAAGATTTATATTACCTATATGAAATAAAAATGTAAAATTGAAAAATACATATATAATTCATTAAAATTATACCTATAAATATTATAAAATAAAATTATATCTTGCATTTCTACATTTAAAAATACTTATATGATAAAAACCATTAAAATTATGCTTAAGGTAAAAATTAATAGTTTAGAAACTTTATAAACTACAGAATAAAGTAAAGTTAAATGAAAAAAAAATTAGGTTAAACAAAAGAATACACTAAATATTTAGCTATATTTAAAGTAAAAAATACTATTTTATGAATGCTTTTTAACATGAATTCAAAAATTGTGGCTTGTACATTTTTACATTTTACAGAAGTAAAACACTTCACATTTTAAGGATATACCTAAATACAAATGTGAAGCATTTTACTTCTGTAAAGTTTTTTAAAATATAATTTCGTCAAAGTATCTTTCTATTTTAAACACTCCTATACTTTATACAAAAAAAGTGGCAACACTGTGTCGCACAAACATATAGTTGGATGCCAGGTTATGTTCATTATTGCACCAATATTGAAATTTGAAGTATGCATATTAGTAGCAAGTAATGGGGAAGTCTAGAGTCTCGTTCGATATATACTGAATACACGAGATAAAAACTTTTGTTCTTACCTGGGTAATCTTCCCCTGTTTCATTTTTCAAATCTTCTAGATCTGCTGATGTGGATAGCTCTATATTATTTTGGTCATACTCTTTCTTAAGTTCAACTTTACCTTCCATAATATCCATATTCAGATGAGATTGAGTAGGAGTAGAGTATAGTATATACAATATACCACACACAATATACAGAGGTTGAGCACAGTATAGTTGTTATTTATCTGTGGGTTGAGTTTACAAAAGTCAGATACGTAAGGACTAAGAACGTAAGCTAAGCCACGCTAAGCTGCGAAAACTACAAGCTGAAGCTGAATATAGCCGCAAATGTCAAAAATATTTCGGCTTGGCGGTGTTGGCATGTTTTTATAACGCATATATTGTATGTCTCAAATATAAAGAGATAAAGCTTTTAAAAAGTATATTTTGAATATACTATTTTATGAATGCTGCAATTTTTAATTTATATGAAGCAGTAACGAGTAGATATTTGTCTCTTTGAGATTAATTGCAAACATTTATTGAAATCTGGCAACTGCTGATTTCAAGATTGCCAAATCTATCCCCCAATCTACCAAAGGGTAATTGCTAAAGAAATTTCCAACAATTAACTGCAATTAATCTCCAAAGAAACTCAAATTTACTCATTGTTGTTTTATATAAATCAAATCATATAAACAAAATATACATTTCTAAACAGTGGCGCACCCGGGGGGTTTTGGGGGTTGAAAACCCCCCAGCACGTTATTCCAACACTGTTATTCACAACTTTTAAGGACTTAAAATGGTGGAGGTTGCAGTTGCATAAAAAAATTTCTGTGCCCAACCAAACTCCTCCGCCCCAGATTAAAATTCTAGGTGCGCTACTGTTCTAAGGCTTTATATTTTTATATTTGAAGCATACAGCATCTACAATATTATAAAAACTGTACTTTCGGTAAACATATATATACATATACCCCCTATGACATACATATACTATACCAAAGAATATAGATTATTATAGACGCTTAAGCGTCTATATCATGGACGGATAAACATAGATGGACACAGCAATAAGATACCTTTAACACACAATGTTTTGAAGTTTCGATAGAATGTGATGCTTCCGCAATGAGCATAAGCGTGCTTGAATTTTTACTCGCGGGTAATTATTCAGATTTTAAAAATTGGAAGTAGTAATAATGTATAAAAACACCTTCAAAGAATTTTAAAAAACGAGGGTTTAACTACTAACAAATCACGTCTATAGAAAAATTAAAATACAATTTTATTTGCTTTAAAATTAATACAATAAAATATAGTTGAATTCAAGTTAATTTTTAATAGGTATCAAAATAATGCTACAATAAAAAATCTTTGATTTTTCCTAAATTTGCTACCAAAATAGTTCGATCGTCAATATTATTTGGAAACCTACATAGAAAAATAAATGAGTTTTATTCATCTCACTAATTTATTTGCATCCATGAGAAATATTAAATTAAAGAGGTAATAAACAGTTCTTTTTTAATCAGATGATGTCTACTTACAATTTAAAAATGTCTACTAATTTCATGAACTTGTATCTTATTCAATACATTAATGAACATGAATAAACCCAATGGTACGCCTATTAAAATGTAAACAAACACGCTTCCTCATTTCCTCATTTTAAATAATGTAAATTGTATGTACTTACAAATGAAATGAGAGATCGGGATGTAAATATTTCGTTTATTTTATTTCACTTTTCACAAATATCACTCAAAATACAGCCAAAATATCGAAAAACAACTTTTACTAAAAACAAACATGGAACAGCATTTGAAGTTTGACGTAGATCCATAAGACAGAGAAATGTAAACAACCGTTGCCATTTATAAATAGTTTTCAGTGCTTCTACATATAAAATAATTGATTGATATGTATTATACGCTATTATTAAATGATAATGCACACTATGTCCACACTTTATATTTTGATTACAATTAAATATATTAATCTAACCAATAAATTATTATTTTGGTTTGATAGCACCTGTAGAGTATAAAATACGGAGTAATATTTTCAGCGACTCGCGAATAAGATTTTTTAAAACAAAACGTGACAACAGTTGAAGGTGCTGAGAACGTGACCTATTCAAATAAATTTGACTTCACAATTTTATGTAAATAACTGAGTCCATCTGTGTTTATACGTCCATGGTCTATATTCTTTGACTATACCTTATAGTAAGGTAAGTGAGGTAAGTCCCATAGAAAGTTTTGAGAGTTTCTAGCGCCAAATGCGGACGGGCCGAAACTAATTTCAGTTGACGGCAAACTCAAAACGTCGTTTTTGAATTTTAGGCGGAAAATTAAAAAATATGCTCTGCATTTTAGGTGCCAAAACTCAAAAGGTATGCTTTGAATGGAAAATATAGTCATAAAATTAAAAATAAAAACTAATTCTATGCGAAAAAATATATTCTCTCTTTCCAAAAACACAGTATACACTCAGGCATTTTTATATTATAAATGTATAACATAATATCAGACAGAGAGAGAATATATTATGGTATAGGAAAGTTTTTATTTAATATTTTATAACTATATCTGTTTTCCATTACATTAACAAACCAAAGTCCCGAAAACAACAAAATAAAACACAGACATCCTGATACTTGTTTATTTATATAATTTTCTTTGGTAAAGTATTGGCAACAAATATCTACCTCCTCATTCCTTAAGCCCTTTTCAGGGTGTGGGTGGGGCCACTCTAAATATTGTTAGCTTGCTGTCTCCATTGGCTTTGATCCTGTATCTGATGGACAACTTCATAAAGTGATTTTTCCACCAATCTTCATTTAATCTTCCCATCGTGTTGGAGATCTTCCTATTGATAAACAAATATAGATGCCTCTATATTCATTAGTACTGGTTTGTTATAAGTTCTATACCTTAAATACTTTTCTTTAAGGAACCATCTGTAGATAATAATAAAGTGTAAACTCTAGCATTTTTGCGAACCTGATCTTTAGGATCAACATAAATTAGTATGTTGCTCAGAAGTATATTGAAGGTCCATCAAAATCTATAATAATGAAATATTAAAATTAAGAATGTATGACTTTTTTATAAAATAAGACAACTTTTAGGAATGTAATAATAAGAGTTAAGAGTTTTAATGATTTTAAAATATATATATAGTACCTATATAAATATAAGATTCATATTGGTTAAGATTTAAAGTAATTTATCTACAAAAGCACAATGTACAAAATAATATTTTACTAGTATTTACTTACAAAAGTTTGGTATCATTCATTAGGTGCTGTTCTTACCTAGTGCTTGTAAAAATAAACTCCTAATCCTCAGAATGTATAATAGCCCTTTGTCCAACTTTAACTTTCACCCATCAACAAAAAATTTTATTTCCATTTGGAATACTACAGATTTTGGTATTGTACCTTCTTCTTTTTTAGCAATGTTTATAAGATATATAAAAATTGATATATACTGTTTGTATCTGCTATTTCTAAAACTTGGGATACAATGTTTTTATAACGGCATTTGCAACTTGCAAACGCGTAGTTTACAACGTTGCCACTTTATTTTTGGTGGATACTAAAAATTCTTTAGAAATAAGTTATTGTAAATTTAAGTGTTAATTTTAGTAGAATTTGCTATAATCTTGGTATTTAAATATTCGTTTTGTTTATTTAAATACAGTTAGTTCATGTCCCGATGTACATCCAACATTGTCCCAAGAGCAAACTACAGGTTGATCCTTGGGACTAATAACACTATACACTTATATCAGTGGCGGCTGGTGTGGTAAAATTTTGGGTAGGCCAAGCCAGCAAATTACATCGTCAGTTTAGCGCCATATTCTGTGAATCTTTTATTATTTCCCAATTCCAGTTATTGAAACTTTTTGTAATCCGAGAAACGTTGCTCTAATTGAGTGATAGTATTGTCCAAAATCTCAAAAAAGATCATTCTAAATTTAGTTTTAGCTTTCTTCAAAAAACTTTGATCTCCGTTATAAGATGAAATACCAAGTAAAATATCAAGTTCACTACGACTTAAGGTTTCGCTAACAGCAATGTTGAAATGGTTAGAAAATGTAAGGTCATTTCTCCAGCTCTTTAACATTGCAACACTTCTGGACACTGAATTGGCACACAATTGAACATTATTATTGATCATTATTTTTCTTCTGCAAGATGTTGTATAAGAGCTCAGTTTGTTGAAATATATCACTAAAAATATTTAATAAAAATACAAATTCCAAATCCTCCAACTTACTTTTAAAACCATCTGCCTGCCTAATTGATTTTGCATTTGATTCTGGGCAATTCATTATGTCCTGAAAGACCTGTAACAATGTTTTTCTTTCTTGTAATATGTGAGCTGGGTCGGCCAGTTCCGATCGGTCCTATTAATGATATTTAAAATGCCTGAATACGACTCGATGCTTTCTATGGTAATATAACAACATAGTTGTTTTAACGGACTTTAATGTATTGAGTGATTTAGTACATTTAAAAGTTATTTACATGCATTAACATAATTTTTGAATATAAGTTTTTCAATTTTAAAGCTCTTAAAATAATTGGGTAGGCCCGGCCTATCCTGCCTACTCCCAAAAGCCGCCACTGACTTATATGGTAAGTAATGCTTTACTCGTTAGTAATAATCTTTTTATTATCTGTTTAGTACCTAAATCTCTTTTCTTTTATCGAGATCAAATATTGTAACCTCGGAAATCTTTTTTGGGTGGTGCTAGAAAGTGAAGACACTGCGGACGGCAGCCAGATGGTTGGTGGAGAGCGAGTCATGGGTTCGAAACTAGATTTTGGAACCGGGAATGGATCCAACGGAAGAAATAGGTAAAGATAGGATAAGAGATATTAGAAAAGATACAGAAATAAACAAAAAGATAGATGGGTAAAATTACCAAAGATAAAAGAAGATAAAAACAGGGCGCCACTAAATTTTTTGGGGTTAAGGAGAAAATTAAGAAAACCTTAGAAAAGAAAAGAGATAAGAAAAGATATTTAGGTTCAGAGATCAAACCCAAGGAAAGATACCAACGGTAAATTATCAAATAAATCTGGTCAACGCAATATATAAACAAATAATAAATATATTAAGTATTACACTTACTTACCTACGAAACTTAATCAGCCTGATCTTTCTACAGTTCAAAAGCATATTAATATTTAAAGATAGTAATTGTTCAGAGCTATTATTTTATCAGGGAACTTGTTAGGAGCCGACAAATAAAATACATGCATAAAACAATAACAATATATTAAATACAAAATTATAAAGCT